AAAAAAAAAAAAAATACTTGTCATCCCATGCCACCCACACCACCAGAGGACTTTAAATTTTACCTGTTTTAAAGAAGAACAAAAAGTTGGAGAAAGGACTTCTTGTTACACTGAAGTTTTGTATTTAGGAACATGAAAGCAGGGATGTTTTCATATTTTTAGCTTTCTTTTTTTTCCAAGATTATGCATTGATTTTTCTTTTTTTTCCTTGTGCTTGAATTTCCGTTTAGACTGAAGGGTCTTTTCTCACCCCCCCCCCTTTTTTTTTCTTTTTCTTTTTTTCTCCCCTTGTACTTCAGCTCAGTATTATGGGGTCTTAGAAAATACTTTCTACTGGAATTTTTCCAATTTCCAGTAAGACTCACTGACGTGGTAGCAGTTCACTACATAGAGGACATTTGTACTAGATTTCTGAAGTATGGGCTCCAGCCCATTTTAAAGAATATTTTCTCCGTTCTTGACTATCCATCACTTTTGTGATGCCCAATTTCAGGATGGGTCATCAGAAGAGACTTCATCCTGTAGCTTAGTATTTTTCTGCTTGCTGTGCAGTGAAAGTAAATGGTTTTTGTTTTGGGGTTTGTTTGGTTTTTTTTCGGGGTGGGGATTTTTTTTTTTTTTTTTTCAGGGTGGGGAGGGGGGGATCGGAGCGGGTAAGTTTTGCTATTTTTATGGGTTTTTTTTTTTGCTTTCATTTTTGATGGCTTGCCTTTTTAGTGGACCAGTGGCTCATCATGCTTTCTATTCCCTGATTCCGATGTGCTACCTGTGTTTTTAGGGTGTCCTCGGGACCCAGTGTATACTTTTGGCTGGTCTTTCTACTGTAGGCGATACAGACTGTGTACTACTTGTAACTTAAGGACCACTAAGCAAATATTGTATTTTCTGTTAAGGATGTTTGTGCAAACTTGGTAATGTGTGTGTGAGTGAGAGAGTGAGTGTGTGTGTGTGCGTTTGAGCGACTGAATGTGCAGACCAGCGTGTGGGAGAATGTGTGTGAATTTGACGAATAGTTCCTTAGGGTTTAAGTATTGCTCTGCTACGAACTTGCGAATTTTCAAAACGGTAGACCGCAAGTTCTCACCTGAAGTAGTTCATAGCGTCTTTTTGAGAAGTGTTTGCAGGAAGACATGTGGACGTCTTAGATAGTGGACATATCTAGTTGTTAGATAATCTGTATTTTTTTTTTCTTTCAGCTCACAAAGCACTAGGTTTTTTTTTAGCACTAGTACCAGGGTCGTCACTTTTCTGTAAATCAAGTTCAAACCAATTCTTCTACGAGGACTTGCTTGTCAACAGCAAAACAACAACCAGTCAAAGGAGTGAGTCTCAATCTCCAGGTGCACTTAGAGTACTCTCTGCTGGCGTACTCAGTAACTATCTCCGAGTCAGAAATACTTCATTGATCCCCAGCGCTTGATGTTAAAGGTGACGTGTACTTTATCCGGGGTATGACGCCCAAAGTCGGACTTGCACCAACCTTGATATATTGATATTTAAACACTGAATGAAAAGTGACAGTCCTGTTCAGTATCGACCCTCTGATTTGTTCACTTTGCCTGTTATGGCCCGGTTTATTTTTTATTTTTTCCTCCAGAAATGTATCCAAGCAGCAGCATCCATGCATAATTTATCTGAAAGAAATGTCTGCTGTCATTGTGGAGCCGTCACAAGCTACAGAATGTAATGCGAGATATTGTTGCTTGCAGCCCTCTGTGTCTGTGTTCAGCGGGATTATTGATGGAGAGGATTTAAATTCTCATTGGGAGGGTGAAAATGGCGGGGCTGAAGGGTTTCACTTATATTTAAGAGGGAATTAAACATTGTAGCAGCCATGTGCTGCACAGACCCACTGAAGATACGCAGACACAGACGGATTGAGCAGGGTTTTCTTTTTTTTTTTTTTTTAATTGTAGGAACGGTTTGAGCCACATGACAGTGAAACTTTCTCTGCAGACATGCCTGTTCTAATAAATCGCTTTAGAGGTGTTAAATGTACTCTGCCAGTGGCTGCTGGGGTGTTCAAATTCAATACTGTGATTTTAAAAAGTGTAAACAATTATGCTGTTGACTCTTTATTGGTTTCAAGGCGTTACAGTACCTTAAAAGTACAAAAAAAAATGTTTTAACGATACCCGAAAACGCATACATTGATGTCCAGTTTAGCTTATTTCACATATCTTTGAACCTAAACAAATTATTCATGTATTTTAAAAGGTGAGCATGGGCGAATAGAAGAATAGAATAGAAGTTCATTTTCTTGGAAATGTCCTACATATCAAGTGTGCTCTGCATCTTTTTTGTTGAATTTTAGGTTAGAGTTAAAATAACCTATAGCAATTCCACTTGCAGTAATTGAAGCAGTTTAATTTTATTGCAACAAATCCTAAAATCTTAAACATATATTTTTTAATTTCTGGCATTATCCCAAAGCTAACATTAAGACACGGTTCATTTCTCTATTTGTTTATATTTATATCTTTGGAAAATCTGTAAAAAATACAAGCATAACACATTCTTGAGTGCAACTTGTGGTAGTTTTAGGGCAATAACTTTATTGGCCACAAGGTGGTAGTCGTGATCTATGTAAAAAAAAGTTCAAGTTGCATGTTGTTTCTGTGTGAGGTTTTTTCCCCCTGTTCCTCTAACGGTCCGAAGACGTTCTTTTTTAAGAGATTATAAAAAAAATTAATACAATATTTAGTCACCATGCTGGCCCTTACGAATTTTGGGAACCACTGAGTTAGTTGAAATTAACGTTACGTTTAAATGTGAGTGTAAATGATTGGCAGTATATGTGGCCCTGCGATAGTTTGTAGTTTTTAAGTCTTTACAGGAAACTCCGCTTTCCATTGAGTCCAATAATATATTAAGCAGAAAAACTATTACGGACATAATTTTTTTATGTTTGTTTATTTCTATGCGTTTCCGCTTTCTACAGCTTGACTTCCTGTCAAGGAAGTCAAGCTGTTACTCGTTTGCGCATGCGCTACTGAGCTTCAGTTACCTGGAGATGGCGCAGAAACACAAACGTCGACATGGAGCCACAGATGTGACACGGCTGTCAGCTGCCGAGTCCTCCTCCAGAGGAGCTTCATCATCAGAAGACGCGTCCCGTAGTGTCTTCGCGAAGCTTCTGGCGGCGGGGTTTTACGGACTGAGCTCATTTCTCATCGTCGTTGTCAACAAAAGTGTCCTCACCAGCTACAGGTGCAAAGTACAAGCTACATGAAGTTCAAGTATTGTACAAATATCCCTCATATGTACATAACATGACTTAACTGGTCAAACTAAATACGAAGTTATTGCCTCAGCATATACGTGTTATTTCGAGGGGAACTTTAGTTTTGTCTATGTACTTTGGACTACTTTTAAGATACTGTATTTACGACTAACTTTCAATTGTGTTTCGTTGCAGTATTGTTGATATTTACCATATCTTACAAGACAAGTTCGGCTACTTTTTAGCCACTCCTGAACCAACCTTTAGCTCTAGTTATTGTCAGGCTATATCCAATTGACTAACATTTAACTATTTACGACTTGGTAACTTTTGTGTATTTATTTCCCAACTGTTGACGATGCTTGGGTCAACTTTTAAAGATTTCCATCATCAACATGTCTTGGAGTCGGTCAAGTAAGTTGACGAACACGACGTGTTGTCAGTGGCTCCTGACAAACACTGCAGTTCTTCACTGTTTACCTTCTCTCGTTTCAGATGTTAGCCACTATTGTGGTTCTGAGGATTGGAAAGATGATTGGAATCATCTCCTTCCCGGATATGGATCTAAGTATTCCAAAAAAGGTGAGCCAATAGGTGTGTCAATATGTGGTTCGTTGTTCAAGATAAATGCTATAATATTTGAACTATCTGCACATTTCCAGATGTTTCCGCTGCCTCTACTGTACGTTGGAAATCAAATATCAGGACTGTTTGGGACACAGCGGATCAAGTGAGAACTCTCTCCATTATTACCCTTTAAAACAAACAACAAAAAAAAAACTAATAAATGTCACCATGTTCTTCATATTGCAGTTTGCCAATGTTCACAGTCCTTCGAAGGTTCAGTATTCTTCTCACCATGATTTTTGAGGGACTTCTGCTAAAGTAGGTTCGCTTCACCTCACCTCCTAACCGAACATCTGGCATACGCGCAAAAATCAGCATAACGTCTACCGCTCTATTATTTCCCCTTAAAGAAAGACCTTCTCCATGTCTGTGAAGGCCACAGTGTTCACTATGATCTTCGGCGCCTTTATTGCCGCCAGGTAAGAACTTCAGAACCAAACGCTCAGACCAATTAAACCCACGGGGTGTGTCAGATTTCCAAACCTTTGTCGTCCCCTGCAGTGACGATTTAGCCTTTGACCTTCAAGGATACGTATTCATAATGCTGAACAATGTCCTGACAGCAGCTAACGGCGCTTATGTCATGAAGAAACTGGACTCTAAGGTGAACGGTGAATGTTTATATCATGATTTTTTTTGCCTCTTCTTGTTAATAATCTGTTTTTTTTTCATAGGATCTGGGGAAATATGGACTTCTGTACTACAATGCTTTGATCATGATCTTTCCTACTGTGGCTTATGCGTATTACTCAGAAGAGTTACAAAAGGTAGGACAGGATTTCTAAGTCATTTTGTTGGAACCTAACATAGTGGTAACATCATAATCCAGGACAGGAGTTTTTTTATAGAGTAGATAAGGACACCTGAGCCCACCCCACCCCAAATCCTGGCTCCCTGTCCCAACCCAGACATGGATGGATGGATAGATAGATGGATGGATGGCTAGATATCAACAATTAATAATTTAACTTCATGCAGGCCTCCCCTATGACTCTTTGGCGCCCCCAGGGGAGGCATGCCTCACCTATTGAAAACTACTGATCTAGGACATAATAATAATATAATAATAATAATATCAGAAGAGTCTGACCTACGCTTAGGAGCGCAGGGCAACTTCTATGCATAGCGCCACGTAACGTATTTGTCGACTTTTAACACCGTACAAATAATAATAATATCAGAAGAGTCTGACTTACGCTTAGGAGCACAGGGCATCTTCTATGCACAGCACCATGTAACATATTTGTCGACTTTTAACACCGTACGTCGGGCTGATGGAACTAGACTTCCATGGTTGAGGACGTCGTAATTTATCCTCTGAATTTTGACATTATTTTTTCTTCAGATTCAGTGAAGTGTTTTAAATGTGTAGCTAAAGATTTAAATCGACGCTCCACCTTCCCGTTTGTCCGCAGGGTTGGGATTATCCCGGATGGTCCGACGTGCTGTTCATGATGCAGTTCGTTCTTTCCTGTATCATGGGGTAAAACTACTCACTGCCACGTTTATATTTCCCGGCGTGCCTCCTCTAACTTTCGTCCGCTCTTGTCCCGCAGCTTTGTTTTGATGTACTCCATCATGCTGTGCACCCAGTACAACTCAGCCCTGACCACCTCCATCGTGGGCTGCATCAAGGTGAGTCATTAGTCGCAGGTGCGTCCGATCATGAAGGCGATCGATGTCACTGACTGACTGACTGTGCGATCGTTGCAGAACGTTGTCGTGACCTACATCGGGATGGTGTTCGGTGGAGACTATATTTTCACTTGGACCAACTTTATCGGCCTGAACGTCAGGTAAGGAGGCGGCGGACCAGATATTTTCTGATCTGAAAATGTAATTCTTTTTTTTTTTTTTAACCTCTAAAATAAATCTTTTCCACAGTATCGCCGGAAGCCTGGTTTACTCCTATATCACCTTTACACAAAAACCAACAAGTAAGAATATCTGAAATATTCCTTTACCAATGATTTTTGTCTCCTCATTTGACTGTCTGGTTTTCCTAAACTGTGTTTATCTTAACAGAGAAGGCGTAAAAACGACAAAGTCCCGCCTCTACATCATCGGAGAGTTCCTTTCACGTGTGTCACTTTTAATTTTTTACATTTTTTAAAATGTGAGATGTGGTGATTTGGTAATTTTAAAGACGAACCAAAGAACATAGGAAATGTTTTATACAATATTTTTTTTCTAAATCAGTTCCTATTTTTTTATATAATCGAGGCTGACTGCAATTATGTAGATTTTTTTAATGTGTTCTTTGGTTATTAAAAAACTCAGGTTTGATGTTAAAATTTACTGGAAATTTACACATTCTTTATTTTCACACTGACAGCCTCTAGAGGGCGCTCTGGGCTTGTTTACCAGTATCTGCTACTCCTGTACCACTGAAATTTAAAATTTTAATTTTACAGCCGCTAGAGGGCGCTGTTGCGACGTACACCTAGGAGCGACTTATATACATTTTCTTCTTTATTATGCATTTTTTGGCCGGTCCAGGCTGGTGTCCAGTCCAAATGAGTAAATATAAAGTACATTTCTCATTGTGGCCCGTTAACAAATGATTTGCGGACCGGTACCGGTCCACGAACCTGGGGTTGAGGACACCTGACCTAATCTAAATTACCTTTACTGGCTTAAGTGACTTTACGCTTCGACTCCCTTCCGTTCCTAACGTCTCCCTATATTTGCAACCGTAATTTAGTTTCCATCCAGCAGGTGTCAGCAGAGCCCCATCTGTGCCTGTCGGCTGCAATCAGCGTCAGCCCTGCGACACGGTCTCTCATTACTGGGCCATTTCTCACCTCCCATTTCCGTGACAACGATCTGTCAGCTACATTCGGTCTCTTTAAATTCAGAAGAATTCGCAGCCGTATTTAAAAAAAACAAAACAAGAACTAGGCTGTGTTTTCTCTCAATTGTGCTGGAGAAGAAGACGAAGACGTCTTAAGGAGCAAATTGCCTCTTGTTGTAGCTGTTGGCTTTGAGCTGTACTCTGGGTACCTGGCACAAATGAACCATTAACTTCAGGGCCTTCGACACAGTTAGCACACGTTAACGTTATTTATAATAGGATTGGCAGAGCGCGAGTGTCTGCGAGCAGCTAAAGGGCGCCTCGTTTTTAATATTCGAAACAGTTTTCCGCAGATATGGGAGATGAAGGGGGAAAGTGAGCCGATTTTGTTTTTCGGAAAAAAAAAATCACCCTTTATGTTTGTCCTCAAAGCTCCTCATTAATCTTTATATTTTACACAGCAGACGAGAGAGATTTCATGCGTTATCCACCGGGTGCATCTGTGAATGCGATTTTTTTATTTTTGCCAACATTAAAATTCAGATAAATCTGATTATTTTATCTACGCCTTAGATGTTTCTCTTCCCGCTTGCCTGTACTTAAAAGAGGGGGGGAAAAAAATCTCATGTGAATTCGTTACGCTAAAGAAAAGTTGGATGCATCCTTGCTATAAGGAAGCCATTCTTTTATACCTGTTGTGTCCAGCAGGGTCACCGAGACCTGACACAAGTGGAAGATAGCCTAAAGAACACTCGTGTAAAGATGAAAGCTGGGATTAGTATTCTCTCCTTCATCCAGAAGTAGAAGAAAAAGGGTTGCAGATTAAGCGGTGATGTCTGTGAAAAGGCCCGATCTCCCCGGACGGTCCTCTGTTTGACCGTTATAAATCTTTAGAAATCTCATTATCTCGCCAAAGACTAGTCCTACTGACTATTGTCATTTTAAAGTTAGTGACCAGGAATATGTTTTAGATGTAGTTCTTTTGAAACATTTTTGTGCTTTATTGTCAGGTGAAAGTAGAGGAAGAAGTTAGAATTACACTGACTATTTTTGGCTTTTCTGGGGGTTTTACTATTTACTTTTTAGCTTAATCAAACATTCAATGCCTGCTCTAATTTTACTGGGGGATTTTATGCAGTAACTAAAATAATGAAAGAAAAAAAAATCCAATATGCCTAACATCTAGCTATAGTTGCTTATTTTTCTTTTTTTTTTCCTGTCCAAGTTTGGCTGTTTCCTGTTCATCTCCTGTTTTTATTTTTATCATTTATTATGAAATTAACTTTAAATTCATGTCTATTTGACTTAACCTTTTGCTGTTTTATGCCAGTTTAATTTTATCCTGTAAAAAAAAAAAAAGTCAAACATACGGCCCGAGGACCAAAACCGGCCCGCTGGGGGCTTCAATTCGGCCCGCTTGATGAATTTTGAAAATATATAAAAATTCATGTTTCGATAAATTATATTTCATTATATATTTCAAGATTTATCTAATACAGAAAACTATGGACTTTTACCAAACTCTAACTTTTAATGAACAGAAAAACATTTTAATAGGTTTACAGCCATGTTTATTATAATATAACGTTATATTGTATTATATATAAAACATATCAAATAATGTTGTTTAATTTATGGCTTATAATTCCTAATAGTCCACTGTGATCAAATCTATATTTACTACATTAGAAAACTCTCGTGGGCGGTGATTGATGCCAAACTCTAACCGGACATTCTTCACTTAGTTTAAAGCTCTAAACGTAAAAGTTAAACCATATATTCATTTAAAAGAGTGCTACTTTGCTTTTATCAACGCTGCACTTTTCTGCCCGGGACGCGACACACACAGGATTAAGACAAAAACCGTTTCGATATCATTTAAAGAATTTGTATGAATCATTTCGACCGTGAGATTTAGCGCCTTAATTATTTAATAAGGAAGACGGAGTTGTGCGCTACACCGCCGCCCCGAATATATGAATATCCACTACATTTATTATCGGCTGAAACTAAGATATATATATATATAGTTTTTCTATCCCACGCCGTTGCAATAAATTCATTCATGTCTTGAGTTAGGCGCTTGGAAAACACCAGTTCATGCATCACTGTTTTCGTGCGAGATATATGTGTTTGTGGCAAAAAAAAAAAAAAAAAACAGCAATCCATCCAAAAAGGCTTTTATCTGTTTATTGCGAACATTAACAGAACTGTGAGCAAACAGCAGTAACTTTTGAAGCTGGTATCCTTTTACGGCCACGCTGCCGGCCCGGGGAGTGCTTTAGCAAACATAAAGGATGGTTTTTAATTAGGGAGAATTCAATTTTGGGCGAACGTAAACAACTGATATTCCACTTATGCTAACTTATGTATATTTTATTTCTACTAATATTGGGTTCTAGGCAAAGACGGAAACTTGCGTGACCACACGACTTAACATGATGATGTATTTAAAGCAGGGGTGTCAAACGTGCGGCCCGTGGCCCAAAATCGGCCCGCTTGGGGATTTAATACGGCCCACTTGATTAATTTTTTTTCTAATATGCTTGTACTTATTTGTATGAAAACAAAGGGTAAAACATGGACTGATTGTTATTTATAGGTATTTACTTTACGACTGTACTGGTCCGACTCACTTGAGATTGACCAAAATGAGATTGACAGCCCTGATTTAAAGTAAATCTCTCCACAGACTCACTGCCGCTGTACGATCCGTCTTCGAACGCTCTCTTCGCCGCAGCCCCACCTGCAGTTCTGAGCTTCTGATCATTATAAAATATTTTATCATCGTAGAGGTTCATTAACCATCTGCCACAGCGGTGATAAAACTTACACACAGTATAGTTCCCTCCCCTTAAGTCATTTTCCCCAAGTCTTCAGCTGCCAAACTAACATATGGTACTGGTCCTCGTGACGATACGACCCAAAATGTGAGCAGTTAATTTCAACACTGCTAAAAAAAAAATTTTTTTCTTTTTTTTTTTTTTGAAGCTTGCAGTGAAAGGAAAGCTCACTCTGGAGAGCTGTTAACGGCCACGGAATGATACAAATGCTCGTCCTCTTCAACTCAGTAGGGACGCAAGGACAGGACGGAGAAATCAGACCTGGAAAAAAAAAAAATTTGATGGCGATCCATCCGGTGCATTAGCCGAGAAGGAGAAATCTCAGGCATTATCAGGACAGAAATAAGGACTTTTTTGTCCGCACTGATTTAATTAGGAGTTACCTCTCGCTAATGGAAGGGAGCATATTTTTCCGAGTTCTTTAAACCGGAGACACTGCTGATGGCTGTTTTCTAATGGGATGTGAAAAGTTGACGGGTTAATTAAAGTAGCCACTAGTTAAAAGCTAAAGAGCCAGATGGGTTGTGTCAAAGTGCTCCAGGGCCGACTGCGCCTCCTGCTGTGATTGAACCGTAATTAGATGGTAATATATTGGAAATCCTTCAGATATGATTGTCGGTTTCCTGAGAAATAGAGAAAAATGAAATGGTACCACATACAGTTACCCATAAATAAAATAACACCAGTATATTATAAAATACGTATATATATTTAATGAAATATAATTTGATAAAACACAACAAACTTTAAGCATTTTTCTTCCCTTTCTAAGTTCGTCAAGCAGGCCGGATTGAACCACCCAGCGGGCCGGATTTGGTCCACTGGCCGTATGTTTGTCAACCACCGACTTAGACTCTTTAACTGGAATGTCGCCTGGTCTGCAGCTCCTCCTCCTGCAGGTATGACAGATTCAAGTTAATATCAAAACAGAGGAGAAGAAAGTTTTGCTGACTGAACGATACTTTTGGTCCATTTTAGCGCTTTTCCAATCATATAACTTCTGGCTAACAATCGGGTATTTCTGTTCTGCTAACTGTTCCCGAACTGTGCGGCAAGCTTTGAACTTTTAGCGCCACATTATTTGGCAAAATGTAGCCAAAGTTTTGGCACTAATGCTAAGTTAAGGCTATTTTCTAAAAATAAAATTTTTAACTAAATCTTTGTACTCAAACTCAATTTACTTTTATAGGCTTGCCTTAATTTATTTAGTAGCTAATTAAGAATATTAACTCATTGTAGGCTGAAGATTTATAAATAAATAGACCCAAACAATGTGTTGCTGCTTTGTTTCTTTTTTCCTTTCACTTAAAGGGATTTCTAAATAATAAAAAAGGGACTAATAAATGAGAATGGCCAAAAATATCTTTAATGTAATGGATGGTCCAGTAATAAAATATACTTTACG